CTCCTTTGATCCTTAAGTTATTTTGCTTGCTATGATCCAGTAAATCTGCCAATTCAATTTTTATTTCAGAAATGCTCTTTTGAGCCTTGCCTATCTCTGAAGTATTATTTGTAGCTATATTATAGGCTTTGCTGGCAACCTGAGCTGTATCTGCTATTTGCCGTGACAATTCCTTAAATTGTTTATTCATTTGTTCAGACATACCTGCCAAGTCTTTAGTTACTCCCACAGCATGTTTATCCCATTCTGTTTTCATTTCTCTTTTAAGTTGTTTTATTAATTGTCCAATTACCTCAGTATTGAATGTCTGTCCATGTCTGTGGTCAGTGCTTTGTTCCTCCATTTCTTCTTCCTGATTGCTGGGAAGAGGTACCTCCTCAATCTCCTTCAGATCTTCCAAATAAGGTTTAATCCCCTCCCCTTTGCACAGTCCCCTTCCTTAACATCCTGCTTAAATTATTTTACTATTTTATAAGATATTTAGTGATGCAAACTGGCTATATTAGTGGAAATAGCTAGATCGGGGGAAGAATGGAGAACTCAGCATGCCGTCCTTATCTATGGCTAGCCACCCCCTACCCTCCAAGCATGTTTTTTTTGAAGGCATCAGTATTTGCTTATTCTCAAATATCTGTACAAATTAATTCAGTACCACTTAATTTCCTCCAGTACTTGAGTGGATTTCCATTTGTACAGCAGGACATTTCCCCTTGCCCACTTCCCCCTCCGCCAGTGCATCTTTTAAATGTACTTTGGATGACATTAGAAAGAAAGCTTATGAGGTTCGTCTCCAAGCTAGGAATAAACACGCAGGCGGTTGCTTGAAGGAGAGAGAAGACTTTATTTCCAAGAGCCGGATACATAAGACGGTCAGCTGTCCGGGTGGCAGAGCTCAGGGTTTCCCCAGGAGTTCCTTTTATAGGAAAGATACTATTGTTCCTTGAAAGGTGCGAAGGAATGCCGCCCTCAAGGAATTCTTAGAAAAGGTAGTTAGCCGGGATTCCAAGAGAGAGCGCTGGCCATGAAATTGACTAGATCTTTAGAAGGGAGGGTTCTAAGGTCAATTCTACTGAGCTGGGGTTTCCTGTGTTTGTCTTATCTGGTATTGCCTAATTGGAATGTAGATCCCTTTGGGGAAGAAATCTTTTTATGATTTGATTACAGCTTCAAGGAATGTTGGCCCTTCCTGCTAGGTCTTTAGTTATTTAATTTTCGGCTAGGGTGGAGGGCTCTTGATTCTTCCTGCTACATTTTTAATCTTTTTAGGTGAGCTCATTCTTACTATAATTTAATCATATGCCTTGGTTGCTGTTAAGATAAACAATGGTAGGGTGAGACAAATGGGAAGCTTTGACTTCCTGCTGGCATGGGGAGAAGAATTTGATTTTCTTCTCACAATGATCTAGTTAGTAACTCTCAGGAACAGTTTCTGAGGCCATGCAGGAGAATTCAAGGGAGAGGAGACATTACTGTAGTTCTATTGGTAGCTGCTATCCTATGAACAGATGGACAAACAAAATAAGATGCAACTAATTAGCTCACATAATATGCTAAACCTTAATTCTGATTGACAAAACACTGTTGTGTTTATATAACGTGCCATTCTCCAGCACATAAGACATATTATGCCTTAACATGATGGCCTGGCTCATACAACATGCTTAGATCAGTTCTCAAAATGTGCCTAAATTATAGACTGCAACTTCATTTAGACTAGTTCAGAGTACTGTGTGACCCTGATTAGTATGACTTCCAGATTAATTGTAATTATTAGAATAGAGTATGTGTGTGTTCTGGGGTGGAATAATAGCCTGATAACTGACATGCTAAACTATTCAATATTTTCAAAAACTGCTTGAATGGAATTAAGCTTAGTCAGGACTGAGGTGGCTTCATACACAGGAACAGAACAGCAGAAGCTTTCAGTTTTGTTTGTTGGAAAGTCTGTCTAACAAGTAGAGCTTTCAGGCATGTCTGAGCATGTAGTCCTAAACTGTTTGATCACAG